AGTTCTTCTTGTTTCTCGACTATTTTTACTTTATTTCCACAAGTCATTTTCAATGATTATTATTCAAAGATGCTTCATGTCAACACGGTCTCTGCCTGCTGTAAACATGGTAACTCACTCAACTGAAACAATGGCCTTTACACTCCTGCACATTGAAACGAGAGAGGAACATTTCTGGCTCAAATGTCCATATATGGGGCTGAACAGACCTGCTTGCTCTGGTTAAGCCGCCATGAATTTTAATGCGATGCAGCCTGTTTGCTCTGGGGGTGAAATGGTAAAATGTGCTTTTCACAACATTTTCAAACTCTGACCTTTGGTTTATGAAGAGACGGTGTTTCCTTCTTTGTTCTCTCACACTTATCACATCCACGTCAGCTGTTACTGAGAATGCAGCCTGCTCAGCTTGCAGCTTGTCCGTGTCAGTGATAAAGCGTTAAGCACTGTGTTCACACCTGGTTTCACTGTTTCTCCGTGTTGATCGGATCACAAGTGAGCAGCTCTAAACACATGTGCTCACAACTTGCAGTAATGAATCTCCATTCACACCCATTACTGACCGACTACAGCTCCCCACACAACCTGCATTTGTCATGCAGACAAATATTTGTTAGTTTTGTCTGGAGATTAGCTTCAGTTTTGTATTTCTTGGGGAAAAAAAATGAGAATATGTAAATTCCACACCTTTCCACAGGTCAATTTCCAAAAAGTCCAGTTCAGCTCTTTGGGAGACCTGATCAGGTCAAGATGTTAAAACTGAGTCAACATTTCTTGACTGCAGACATATAGCTCCTTTTTTGCAATACTAAGGTGACCGTATTTTGATTTCCAACAAAGAGGACACAAAACAGATCGAAAGAAATTAGGGATGCACAATACATCGGCATCAACACCAGGGATTTATCTAAAAAAGAGAAGCACTGTACACTGTAAGAAAAAACATGTCTAATTTACAGCAAGATACCAGGAGCTGCGGTTGTGAGTTTTGGTGTATGTATCCATAAAATTCTGAAAACCGTAGCTGATGGTATTTTACCGTAAATAAGTAAATTATTATTATTATCATTTTTTTACAGTGTGGTGTGGTAGCTTCTATTCAGTATCAAAAGTCATAATACATATGATCATAATCATACGTATCATGGTTTCATAATACGTATGAAATCAGTAAAATTGTGTGAACATAACCATTACAGCAGTATTTATATTGGACATTGATATCAGTCCAATTTCTACTTGGTGCACCCCTAACACAGAAAATGTCTATATGCCACACACACATCGTGACACAGAGACGTTTGGGGGAATAATGATATTTCGCCACCCTAGAAATTTAAAATCAATATTACAAATGACATTTTAGAAAATTGTTTTCTAAAAATAAATATATTTTTGATCGTATTATCAGGGATTATCAGCTAAATTCATCCAGTCTGCCCATTGCAAACTGCCACTCCCACAAAATCACGTGTTGTTCCCACTTCAACCACTAGGTAGGCCACATAACCTACCACCTAAGGTAGGAGGAGATCATTAGAGGGATATGTATCAACCAACATTTCTGGGATTCATGTATCTCCTGGCTTTATTAACAACAAAATAAATATAAAGCCAATTAGTTAGCTATTGGTTAATCAGGGCCTGTCTTTGAGTTAACCATCAAAGTCAAGTCTAAATTTTTTGAAAGGTAAGTCTAACTCTAGCCTCAGGTCTTCCTCAGATACAAACCATCTGGTCTCCCTGCAGCCTGTGATGCTGAAGGTCAGGAATAAAACCCTGTGCAGTTTGACTTTAAGATTCATTTATGCTTGTTGATATATCTAAAGCTTTAAAAGTTTTCATATTTTGATATTTAATTCAACAATTGATGTGAGCCTATTTTTTGATAAAGTGCTAAAGTATTCAAAATAGCAATGTGCATGTCTCTTGAAAAAAGCTGAATAAAAAAAGATGAACATGCTGCATTTTTATTTTTGGCCTATAGTGATGTAGTTAATCCCTGTTGTCACATTGTCCCATCCTTTACAGTACTATAGTTCACTATTATTCATTATTCTAAGTCAGGTGATTTTTAACTTGTTAGGAAGCCATATTCTGAGTCAAAGTCTGAAATAGTTCTTATCAGGGCCAAATAGTAAAGGTGCTAGAAATGACAATATAATGCAGTGTATCACTTACACACAGGCTTACCCGACCTTCTGATTGTATGTTAATGAGACTCAAGTCTTGGACCTCAAGTCCAGTTCAAGTCTCCAACGTTTTGTGCATCAGTCCAAGTTGAGTCTTTGTTTATGCCAAAAATATAAATTTAGACTGTGAAACTCAACCAAAGCCCCACTTCACAGTGACGCTGCTGTCCTTCCGATTCACTACTGATGACGACACTAGTCTCTTCTTCAGCCCCTGATTTGTAGTTTCAGTAAAATTTCTTCTGATTTCTTCAAAAGAAAAATAATCAAACTGCAGTATGGCAGCTTGGAAAGTCGGAACTTCATAAAGTTTAAATGGGATAGAATCAAGAAGAGTAAAACTGAGAAAACTTAACATCACAGTCAAGTCTTTACCTTTAAGACTTGCTGACTTCAAGGTAAAATTCACTTCAAAGTGCAAATGTTTTGAATGGAGAGGATTTGATTGTGTGACTTGTTAACAGAGAGCTGGAAATTCCTCTGCTATGAGTCAGCTGTCTAAATATGGTCCCTGGTCTTCATCATTACACACCCATCCACTCCCAGTGCAGAGCTGGACACCTCTTCTTTTTCATTTAACCTTTCACTTTTATCCTCCTTCCAAACAGAGATAAATAACAGCCCACTGTGCTACAGTAGCAGAGAGTTGATTTGGTTTACTGAATCCTCTTGTAAATTCTTTACAAACCAACAGAAAAGGTGAAACGTCTTCAAAAATACCCAGGTATCACTAAGTGGTATCACTTTCTAGTCTGTGAAAGTCAACGTTGATGGTCGCTTGTCCCAAATATAATTCTGAGTGTCAATTTGGGGAATTTAAAGTGTGACAGTTACAGGAGTGACACAGATTTGCCTGTTCATGAAAAATCAAGTGTCACATGACACCCTGGGCAAGTGCCTTTGTTGCCCATATTAAGAACTGGCCTTGTGTTTGGGAGAAAACTCACAAAAAAGGGAGGGGCTCTTTGCTTGTTCAGCTAGAGGAACCTTCAGATCGTTCTCTGGCATCTTCTTAAAAAGAACTGTGAATACTATTAGCTATGGTATATACACACTGTTTATACAATAAAATGTACATTTTAAAATGTTTGTGTGTGAGGGCAGAAATCACAACTATGAGTTTTACAGAGGGATGAGGAGAAAAAGCTAGAGACAGGAGTGATGTATAAAGAATATAACATCTGGCCATTTAGTGAGTTCATTAAAATAAGTAGGTTTATCAGCAGTGGCCATATCAGCTTATTGATTCCACAGTTTTACTTGATGACAGTCATGAGTCTAAATCATTCTTTCTGATGATGAATGTTCCTCTAGTGATGAATGTGTTTCCAAAGCAGTTGGATTTTGAAACGTGTTCTCTAAAGAAATCAAAAAATGCACATAAAATTGAAAGCAGAGCAGCGAGCACATGCATGCATGTGTGCGAGTGCATTTAATGACGATGAATTCTTTGTTTTCTGGCAACCATAAATAAACTCAGCGCTTTGAGTTAGTCAGGGAGCCCACAACAAGCATCTGAGGCGGAGTTGCCTCGCCAAGGAGCCTAACTCTCGCAAAATGTCCAAATGTTTATAGTTTTTTACTATTGGATGTTTCAAATAGGCTGCATTGGAAACTAGAAACCCACAGCTTTATTAGATCCCAGTCTTGAGGAGATTTATGATGTTCACAAATTGAGAAACAGTTAAGTTATTGAGTTAAGCTCAGCCTTAAGGCTCTTCCCTGCTCATCTGCAGCTTATTAAACATTCTGTCTTTTGCTGCCGTGTCAGTTTGCAGAAACTCTGGGCATACTGAAATGCTGAACTCTGATTGCACAGTCAGTCTGTTACCTAATGTGAAAGGTACTGTAGCTGCTGGAGCGACTCAGAGGGAGGCAGAGGGAGCGAGCTCGTTCCAAACCATGATGTCTGAGTCAAGGGTGGAAACTCTGAATGTTCCTGCACTACGGATCATAAACATAAACCAGTCTCACACACATACACACCCACACACGCGCGCATGTGTGCGCACACACATGCATATGTGTGCACAGATGCAATGAACTCACAGTCTAAAAAAAGTTTGGGTTTCCCTCAGCTTCCCTCACAAACGGTTCTCCCTGTCTTGAAAAAAGAAAAACTGCCGTCACACCAATTCATATGGAGATTATGGTGTCATTTTAATGTTTTTGGGCATATGTAGGAAAAATGATCTCATTGGATTTCATATAAAATTATGTGAAATGCATTTTGTACATACAAACGCAGATTTGCGTGTGTATGTGTGTTTATAGGTGTGTGTGCGAGTGGTGGGCGTGCTCCCAATCTGAACACCTCTGCCCCTGCTCATAACTAATAAGCTTGTACAAAATGCATTTCACATAATCTGCGTTTGTATGCTGTCTGACCACATAAAGTGCCAGAATCTAGTCACTTATTAAAGAGAAAAAGTGTGAGAGAATACAAGGGCTCTTAGTTTCATTTGTAATTCTTCTGTGAGTTCTTGGTGAACTTTTTGCAGACTAATAGTTTTGCAAACACTTGCATGTCATATTGAAATCAGTTCTGAGGTACAGAGGAAGGTAACAGGAGAGAACCTGGAGCCTCTCCCTGAAAACAAAGTGGGATCATCTTCAGGATCCTTGTCCTGTTTCATAAATCACACCTGAATCTGTTTTTTTTTTTAAATTATTATTACATAAACTAGACTCCAGAGTATCAACTGCTCATCATGCTGTTCAGTGCACCAGTGTGCCACACCCATTTCTCATGTCAGGCTCTGACAAACAGCCTGATGTTTCAGATACCTCAGCATGCCAACACTCTCCTACCTGGTACACCATGACTTTAAAGTTGCGCCTCTTCAGCAGCTCTGCCTCGTTGTTCTCCAGCTTCTTTATCTGGCCGCCTTGCTTCTCCAGCGTGGCTCGGACGGTCTTGACATTGACGCTGACCTTGCGCACCTTCTCCATCATCTTATTGACGCTGTTGGAGGTGGTACTGTGGTTCTTGCTCAGCTTGGTCAGCTCTCCTTGGATGCTGGTCACCGTGCGCTCCATCTCCTGCTGTCTGGTCTCCAGCCCGCTCTGGGTCTGCTGGATCTTGTCCACTGCGCCGATGATCTTGTCAAGCAAAGACAGAACCATCACGCCGTTTACTTGCGTGTCTGAGGCTTGTGCCTCATCCTTGTTTTCGTTCGTCTCTTCCTCTGAGCCCATGGCATGCAGGTCTATCTTGGCGGCAGCAAGGGCATTATCTTCTTCATCAGAAGCTGGCAGATTGAGCTCATCATCGGAGACTTCAGTCAGGGTCTGAGGCTCCAGCATGGCACTTGAGGATTCCAGTGCTTCCATGGTTGCCATCTTGACTAATTTGAGGTGCTAATACTTGCTTAAGCTTTCTCAATTATCTAAATTCTTGCCCTCTCACCAGGTTCTTCTTTTTCCTTTGCTCTTTACTTCTCCTGTTTCTGCAGCATGCAGCCCGTTTTAATGCTGTTCTGTCTTCCACAAGTTCCCGGAGTCAGATCCGCGTGAAGAAGACAAGCAGTGCTGGATGTCACCACATAAGAGTTGTGGCAGAAAACCCCAGCATCAAACTAGCCTGCAGGGTACTTTCTCTCCAGCCCCTTTTTCCACTGGACTCCCCCGTCTGCTCAAGCTCCTCCTTTATCTCCTCCCAAGACTCAACCTCTCCGTGAGTTGATGACACACCCTCCTTGTCTGCCCCTGTGCTTTTGACAGGGCTGGAACAGCCAGCAGACCTGCAGCAGTATGCTTGGATACAAGCCGGGGCACAACTCAGGAGGAATGTTGGACCACATCTGCTCTTGTTTCCTCTTCTATCTTCATGCCCTGCAGAGTTTCTTCTACAAAGGCAAAGCAGAGCTTGACTCATTATGGACCAGAGCCACCAGCGAGAAGAAAAGACAAAACAAACTAAAATTTAGAACAAGCAGTGGTTTTATAGTAGAAGGCCATGCTTGTGGTGTCAATGTGTTGCTCAAACACATTGAGCTCTTTGATTATCTTAATAAAATTGAATGCAGAAACAAAGTCTTCTATTTGTTGAATATGATGAGAGTCAAACACCGTTTTTTTTACTTTCAGATTCAGAAGCTGGGCTGCACAAAGGTGCAGCAGGTAGCACTGTTGTTTTGCAGCGAGAAGGTTCTGGGTTCGATTCCCGGCCCAGGGTCTTTCTGCATGTGTGGGTTCTCTCTGGGTTCTCCGGCTTCCTCTTGTAACAGTTGCAAAATGGAGCACACGGGACTCAGGATCTGTCAGTTTATTTCTGTAACACAACATGGGACACACTCAACCATCGGTGTGGCACATACAGTCAGATCCCAGCAGCTCAGCAGCTGTGTTGGCAGCTTCTCTTCTTTTTACATCAGCCACAAATGGAATAAAGAAAAATAAAATTATGTACAAATCAGCATCAAAGAAATTTAAAGCTATAAAACTATAATGGAAATCTGTACATTTATTATTATCATTTAATTTATTACATACCTGTAACACAACATGGGACACACTCAACCATCGGTGTGGCACATACAGTCAGATCCCAGCAGCTCTACAACATTTTGGAGGGAAAAACTTTTAACAACTTTAAAGGGCAACAGCTTAATTCTAACGGAACCTAAAGTCTTTTTTTTAAGACACATAAAACAATTAACATTTTAATTTATGCAATACAAAAATGTGAAAACAATTATAAACATAATAAACATCACTGAAAGTGGGAGATAGCATTAGCACGTCTTACCAGCAGCTGTGTTGGCAGCTTCTGCCTGGCTGCTGCAGCTACCTCACAGAACCCACTCTGTGTAACATCAATAACTACCCTCCCAAAACAACATCAGGAACCAAAAACAACAGACATGTCAATTCAACAAAAAGTGTTTTGAGAAGGTTCACAATCATTTTTTAAAAAATAAGTAAATAAAATCAACTCAGCTACACTCTCACAGTCCAAACACATGACTGTCAGGTTAATTGGTCTCTCTAAATCTCCTTAGGTGTGAGTGTGTGTGTGCATGCCTATTTGTGCTGTCTGTCTCTGTGTTGTCCTGTGATGGACTGGTGACCTCCTGACCCCACGAGGGACAAGGGTGTAAAGAGAATGGATTCAGAAGCTCACAGATTGATTTATTTGCCTTTAAAGCTGCATTATGTAACTTTTAAAAACAATATATTTTTGACATATTTGTTAAGTCTGCACCATGTTGTGACAGAATGAGATAATCTGTAAAATATTCCATCTCCTCCTATTGCCATCTGCAGAAACACACTGCGCCCAGTCAGAAACAACAAATCTAAGACAGCACTAAGACACTCTGAGGAGTGTCTTAGTGCTGTCAATCACATTAAGGGGTGCACTGCTCAATGTGCCAAGAATTACTGTTTATCTGCTGCCATCAGTGGCCATGCTTACTAGCCTTAGCATTCACAACAAGATCTGTTGTGGTAAACCAGCTGTAGCAGGGAACAAGGAGGATGTGAGCAGCTGGTTCTCCAAAAACATGCAAACCCAAACAAAAGGTAAAAACAGAATGATTTTCCTACAAAATGACTGAGAATTACCTGTGATTCCATAAATATAACCTGCTCCGATCTTATCACACCGAGGTTATAAAAAACAGACATTAGTCCAGAGAAATAAGGCAAAAGGCAACATGGAACTTGGAAAACGTCAGCTGCAGTATTTCACAAACCTAGTGGAAGTTCTCCACTTCCACAAAGCTGTTCAACAATAGTGTTAGTGTCCTGCTTTAAACCCTGTACAGGTTGGAACTCCTTTATGGAAATGTTTGAACAAGACTAGTCTTTTATGAAGTAAGCAATGTTCAAAAAATAGAGACTTAAAACAGAAAGTATTTCAATGCTCTGGAGATATTATGAGTATTTCTAAACTGTTTCACCATAAAGTTTCAGTAAGTCTTTAATCTTACTAAAGTCTAGATGGATGGATGGATGGATGGATGGATGGATGGATGGTGGATGGATGGATGGATGGATGGTGGATGGATGGATGGATGGGATGGATGGATGGATGGATGGATGGTAGATGGATGGATGGTAGATGGATGGATGGATGGATGGATGGTAGATGGATGGATGATGGTAGATGGATGGATGGATGGATGGTAGATGGATGGATGGTAGATGGATGGATGGATGGATGGATGGATGGATGGATGGATGGATGGATGGATGGATGGATGGTAGATGGATGGATGGATGGATGGTAGATGGATGGATGGTAGATGGATGGATGGATGGATGGATGGTAGATGGATGGATGGATGGATGGTAGATGGATGGATGGATGGATGGATGGTAGATGGACAGATGATTACATTGATTCTCATTGTACATTGTGAAACATTGTGTGTTTGATAACCTTGTGGTCTGCTGAGATTTTCACCACCAGCCATGACTCAGATTCACAGAGAAAGGTCGAAATGAGAGAAACTACATAGTGTTGGAAAAAATGCCTTGTTAATGTCAGAAAAGAAAAGTCAAACTGGTTAGAGATGCTCCAATCTAGCAACACAAATTCGTGAAATGATTTCATCAGCAACGTTCAGATGGTTGGGTCAGATTTATTTGATATAAACAACATGAAAGCATGACTCCATCCATCCTTATATCCAGGGCTGAGTCCAGGTGAAATCGGGCATCAGGCAGAATTACATTCGGGGCCCTTCTTCCTGTTAAGAGCATCACCACCAGTAACAGTGTTTACATAGAGATCTGCTGGAATCTGGGCAAGTGGCCAACTTTAACTGCTGGGCTTAGAAGCAATCTTTGATAATTGGTTGTTATTTGCTGAGATGTATTTGTGATCAAACTGAGCTCTAGCACAAAGAAAAGATTAAACTGGTAGGATCAGATTGTGACTATGGTAACACAGTAATCAAACAGTAAAGATGATTCTTTGCACTTCTACAAAGTAAACTCGATAATTCTGATGCATTTTTACCTATTTTTTTTATTACAATTCTGAAAGTGTCAAATCAAATTCATTAATATTTTCCTCCTCGATAAACAAAAATTTGAGATCTGTGTTAAAATGCAAGTCTGTATGTGAGACCTCTTGTGGCCTGGGGGACCTTTGTTTTCTTATACCTGGGGCCGGCTCTGTTTATATCAATAGTTAAGGATAATGATGGTATCATGGTGTGGGGAATATTTACTTTGTGTTGCGAACTCACCATCATGTCACCACATCTTATCGAAGAAACCAGAGGATGTGGAGAAGCAGATTCTCATCATAGATGTTCAGCTGACAAATGTGCAGCAAGGTGATGCTATCAAGTCAATATGGACAATATGGATCACAATCTATGAGGAATGTTTCTGACATCATGTTGAACAAATGCTTTAAAGACCTCAGGCTGTTCTGGGCCCAAAGAGAGGGTCCAACCCGGAACTGACATGGTACACCTAATAAAGTGGCAGGTGTTTGCATGTTGGTTGAGGTGTTTTTTTTTTTTTTCATTTTTTGTTTGTTTTTGTTTTCTTGTTTTTTGTTTTTTTTTTCTTTTTTTTTGGAGGGGGGGGGGGGGGGGGCAGTTTTCAGTTTGTGTGGAGCTGCATAAATTATTTCTCCTTTCCGGTTATGATTTTCAAAATAAATTTCATCTATTGCCAGCGTTGTTTCGCTCAGTAGGAAATGGCAAATAATGTAAGAATACTCAGGTGTGTTCAAATAAATACGAATACGAATACATATGCCATGAATATGAAAAAATGGCAGGTAAATATTAGACTTGTGACTGTTTTTTTTAATAAAATAAACACTTGGTGGTTTTATTTTGAACCTCCCCGCTCGGTCTGATGGATCAGCCTGACGTCCTGCGGAGCGGAGCGGAGCAGCATCCAGCATCCTGCATCCAGCATCCCTGACGTCGTGACCGGCAGCAAGAAGAGCCGGAGCTGCTGGTGGAGCTGCTGCTGGTGGAGCTGCTGCTGGTGGTTGGACCTTCAGGCTGGGAAGCTTCATACATGTGAGTATTTCGAGATGTTTTCCAGTGTTGCAGCGTCAGCCTCTCTGGCAGCTTCATAGATAATAAAGCGTAGGAAGCGCGTCACTCAAATATTTCCTCCGTGTGGGAACACATAGAGACTAGAGGGGAACGCTCTGTGTCAGCGGCAGCTGCAGCCCAAAGAACCCGCAACGAGAGTGGTTTTACCGGTCTTACCGGTTTTACCGGTTTTACCAGGTGTGAGGCTCGGTTAGTGCGCTGATGGAAAACCCGAGGTGAGGATGAGGATGAGGATGAGGATAGCAGGCTGCAGCATCATGGCGTCCTTGAGCGTTGAAGGGCAGAGCTGCAGCGGGAGGGATGCTGGGACATCAGGCGGCCATGATGCCAGGTTCTGTGGGACAGGTTCTGGTTTTCAGAACCTGAACTATGTCTGCCTCACACACACACAGGCACACACACATACACACCCACACACACACCTACACACACACACACACACAAATTGAACGGAGCACTAACATAAAAATAATAATAATTTGTTTCATGTAATCAATTAAGTTTATCTAAGTAAATCTTTTAAACAAACTATAATGTTAAACAAACATATTAAAAGTAACTCAATTGGTTTACACAGCTTTATTTTTTAGTTGTAACTCCATTCTGTTTTTTCAGTGCATGGAAAGAAGATGTGGCTGAACGTATCAGAGCTGTGGTTTCTAGTTGTCTGACTCCAGTCTCCTTGTTCTCAGTCTGTCACTATTGTAGCTGAGTTGCTGTGTGACGCTCACCATGGGGGAACTGTTCAGAAGTGAAGAGATGACACTGGCCCAGCTCTTCCTCCAGTCTGAGGCTGCCTACTGCTGCGTCAGCGAGCTGGGAGAACTCGGCATGGTCCAGTTCAGAGACGTACGATAATGAATCCTAAATCCTGCTCCAAATAAATGAATTTGTTTCAGAAGTTCCTTGCATTTCCATTTGACTGAGTTGGTGGCAATCATTTGTAATGGAGATGTCATTTGTTTTGTGTTGCACAGCTGAATCCAGATGTCAACGTATTCCAACGCAAGTTTGTGAATGAAGTGAGAAGATGTGAGGAGATGGACAGGAAGCTAAGTGAGTAAATGTCACACCGTGTTGCTCTAAACCTGGAATTCAGCTTTGAATTAGAAAGTTACAATATCATCAACCAGGCATCTCTGAATATATTAACCACAGTAATCTTAGTTTATGCAATTTTTTTTACTCTTTAGGAGGTAATAAAAGATATATATCCCAAACAGGTATAATTTTGATAATCCTTATTGATAATAGGTTGTGAACGTCAGCAGAAAAAGACAAAAATATATATTTTGAGTCTTGTTTTATTGTCAAAGTAAACCCTAAAAAAAGGTAAGAGTAAACCCTACCTTAAACTTATTCTGATTTATCACCAGACAATGAGAAATATACTTTTTAGGGCTGGAATTCTAACACATTAATTTTCATTAAGAAATGTTAATTAATAATTTTTCTCTTCGACACATAAATTCTTAGTCAAAACCTTTAAATCTAATGCATAAGCGAGCTTTGTAAACAACAGCAATGTTTTCTTTCAAAAAAAGATCTGATTGGACTTTGGAAAAGACTATTGATGTGTTCTAGTTGCCTGTCAGTGAAGCTGTTCAAGCCTAAAACTAGGCCTGTCATGATGAGCAGGAATAAAAGATAACATTGTTTTGAGACCATGGCAATGACAAAATAATAATGCAAGAGTGCATTCTAATAGATCTGCAAACTTTAAATTCTAATGAACATCTAACTGGAACACATTTTAAATATACAAAATACGCAAACAAAACAACACATAAAACAAATTTTGTAAACAAAATTGTCCTGTAAAAAAGTACGAGTTTAGACCAAAGCGCCAGACTGA